CACACCCCCTTGGAAACCCCCATGGATTAAGTCGTGAGGAAACCTCACGGATATTATTGGAGAAGACGGCCGCTGAAGAAAAGCTACGTTTCAAAGCGGCCGGAATGGCCAAGCCGCTCTGCAGTCTAAGCATAACCTCCATCCTTATCATCCCAACGAGCTTCCCAACGCATCCTGTTCGACTCCGACCAGATTTTTAAAAATACAACATAAGAAGGGCCTCATCAATGGTTATGTTAAAAAGGGTTTTTGTTGGACAACGCTGGAACAGCCGCTGGAACACCCATAACCGAACCTGTAGAGGTACCGCTGGTTATGTATCGGAGGCTGGTGGAGGCAGTTAGTTGGTGTATCTTTTGTTAAAAGAGACAAGGCTCTTTGAGGAAGGTGGACTTCTTCCGGATTTTCCCAACGGAATCCTCCTTGTTCTCACGGGAAGCGTCAAAACTCAGCAAAGCTGTCATGGAAGTTGGGCGAACTGTTGACACAATTACCGGGATAACCGGTACCGCAAACGAGTACATGGGGGTTAAACGACCAAGCTCACTTGCCCTCAACGGAAGGAGCAAGACCAAAGGGGTGATGGGGGATCTAACAAACGCATGATTGACACCAGTAAATCATCCTGATTTGCTTCAATTCCTCGAACCATCAAAAATCTTCCAAGAGCTGTGCATCCTGCCTGCATCGCAACTGCATGCACGCAAGAAGCAAACAGACTTTGGTGCAGTGTAAGCTTAGTACTGTACAGTAAGTTGTTCTGGATTTGTCGATGAGACATCTCTGCTGCTGGACACGAGTTCTGCTTCTTCTCATTTAATTTTCTCATCGAGACGAAGTAATTCTTGGTTTGCATTGAAACTGCAAGCAAACCAGTGGAAAGCCATGATGAGGTCATCGTCTCTCTCGGGCAACGCCTTCCTGCTCTCCAAGGAAGCCTCTCTACGGATGCAGCAAGAAGAAGACTTGTTGAGCAGCACTCGATCCTCGTCGACTGCATCTACCTTTAATAGCAGTTGTCGTTCTGTGACGTTTGGCTCTGTCCAAGTACGAGAGTTCAATCGCATCGCCGGGGATCATCCTGACTGTGCCGAAGGTCCTCCTATGAGCATCGATTGGTCCTTTGCCGAACTCGAGCCCGTCAGTGTCGACAAGCACCAGACGACAAGACAAGGATCGTTCACAGTGGCACCCATTCCCAGTACGCTCCGCAAGGAGATTTTGCAGTTTGGCTTTCATGTACCGCCCCAAGACATCAAGGCAGCGGAAAAGATGGCCACCAAGGCGGCACGACAACGAGAGCAAACCATCCAACGACATTTGCTCACACGAAGGACACGACGAATGTGTGGAAAGTTCTTTCGAGGTGTGGCACGCAGCGTCAGGAGGCGACGATGAGACAAACACACACACACACACACCACCGCACCACTGTATGCCCACAAAGACAATACAAGATATATCATTATACTACTACCAGTACTCATACAACCAACCTTCCATCATCGAATCTTTTTGATGCTTTCGCCATGATGATGCACAAGACGACCATCCTTCTTTATTCACAACCTTACCCTATTCATACGTATTGATTAACTCTAAATAGATACTTACTTATTACAATCAGTAACTGCTCAACTACGGTAGCTAGCTAGTCCTGGATGAAATGAAACTGACTGTTACGGTACCTGATTCGATTCGATTCTGGTCTGGTGGGTCCGCAGGATAGGCCGTCAAATGTAAAGGCATCAAGGAGATTCGGTTCCACGCACTCGCTGAGTCATTCTTTGCTTGTCAAGCACCAGGCCGAGTACGGTACAATACTAGAAACTCTCGTGGCGCCTTGACCACGGTATCATGACTTGCTTGCTGCCTTCTATCCACTTTCTACTAGCTGCTAGCTAGCTCGTACTATTACTCAGGCCTTCTTGCTCCCAACAAAGCAAGTGGCCTGGCCCTGAGGTGCAAGCTCTTTTAGCTCCTTGGAACCAACAACAATTTTGGTAGCATCCCACCCGAAACACCCTCCAGAGGCAGCCTGGTCCTGTTACCGGGTACCACACTTCTCACGTACTAGTATCTATTTAGTATTTGTTTTACACTTCTCACGGCAAGTCATCACGTATGTTTGGTTTCCAAATGCTTCGAAGGCTTTCTCTATTGTCTTGATGGCCAGTGAAAACGCAATTTTCTCCCGCGACCCCATCGAACAAAACGGCACAGCACTCCCGCACAAGCATGGCACGGGCGATTATCCATGACTCAGATCCCCAAGTATCCATCTTTTCGAGCGAGTTTTGGAAAAAATTAGCGACTCCAGCTAGCTAGACCACGTTGCTGCCACTTCGCAGAATTGTCGACTTTGGTTGTCCCTCCAGAATTGTGTTGTCTATTGTGTTGGACAACTCTACTCTCCAGACAGAAACAAGCTGAAGAAAATGGTGCCTGTATCCGATATTAAAAACCGGCCGGTTAGCCTCAGGACCATGGCTGCAAACACAATGCCCCGAAACTCCTTTAGTCGACCCAAGCCCACTTTTAGAAACCCGACGACCACCCGCAACCTGAACATTGTCAAGGGAATCACGGTGGCTATCTTCTGCCTGGTCTTATATAGTAATGTTCCCAATTCAGAACCCACGATGATTGAATATCGCGCGAGCACCAATCATGGCAATGTTCGCAGTAGTCGAAACGGGGGCCGTAGCTCCGAGCAGCATCGGAGCACTCGAGCCATGTCCGTCTTGGAGCTTCCCGTCGCGGGGGAAGAGTCCAAATCCCAGGACAAAAGCGATCCCATTCTCCGCGACTATAGCGCGGATGCTCGTCGATCAGAATCCGACAACCGAAGCGATCAAGTCAAAAATCTTGCCCGCGAGCAACAACTTATTAAGCAGACGCTTCGGGAGATCAGCCCTGGCGACACGGAATTGGAAAGAAAATTTCAGGCAGACGAGTATAGCAAACCAATTGTGGATAATGTCATGAACGGGATCAAATCTGCACAAGATGCTGCATCGCAACTACCCGGTGTTACTTCAGCCAAGTCAGGCACGGACACGCTACAAAAGCCCACGTCTGTTGACGATGGCAATGACACCAGCGATGACGAGGATGATAAGGATGCGGACGAGGGAAATGACGAGTCATTGAATGCTGGTGAACTATCGGATACCAGCACTGATGCTGATAATGATAATGATACTGATACTGAGACTGATGCTGATGCTGAGAATGAGAATGAGAATGAGACTGGTGGCAATGACACCAGCGATGACGAGGATGATAAGGATGCGAACGAGGGAAATGACGAGTCATTGAATGCTGGTGAACTATCGGATACCAGCACTGATACTGATGCTGATACTGATACTGATGCTGATACTGACAATGAGAATGATGTTGCTGATGCTGATGCCATTGAAGATGCAGAGGCTGAGCCTGCTGAGCCTGCTAAGCCTGCTAAGCCTGCTAAGCCTGCTGATAGTGTTGAGGCTGATATTAGTGTCGATAGTGACGCCAATGGTGAATCCAACTTTGACGCTGAGACTGAACAAGACGAAGATTCCGAGACGGAGACCGAGACCGAGGCTGAGACAGAACAAGACGACGAACAGGACCCTGCAGAAGCCGAGGTTGAACAGAACGATGAAGCCGAGGCTGAGACCGAGACTGGGGCGGAACAAGATGGCGATACCGATACTGAGACTGAGCGAGACGCCACAGATGTTGATGCTGGGGATGAGACAGAGACTGAATCTGAGGTTGCCACCGAGGCTGATCCAGAGGATGAGAAGACTGGTGTCGATTCCGAGACCGAGCAAGACCCTCAAACTAGTGAGGGTGCCGTTGCCGATACTGTTACCGGTAACGCTGAGGAGCTTCCATATGTCCATGAGTCCAACGAACACGAGAAGAAGCAGCAGAAAAGAATCAGGAAGACCCAAAACAAAAAGCAGAACAAGAAACAATTCGTTGCTAAGGTCCAAGAAACTCAAAGTGAAGTCTCCGCTATCGAAGAATCTCAAAGCGAAGTGTCAGCTACCGGTACCGAGGAATCTTCAAATGAAGAGGCAATGTCTGATTTCAGCACCGAAGGCTCTCCTGAAGTGGCTGCTGATGCCACCGAATCTCAGGAGCAGCTTCCTACTGAGGCACTTCTTCAAACCCAGCAGTCTGAAGTGAACGAGGACACGGAAGAAACTGCAAGCGATGTGGAACTCGTGGAAGGGGGAGAAAACAACGATGTTTCCTTCATGCACTACAAGGGATGCTGTGGAATTGGTCATCGATTGGCTCGTATGTCCGGCGCTTACCATGCTTCCAAGCGATTGAACTTTGCCCTAAAGGGAACCTGGCCGAGTTGTCGCAAGACCAACGTCTTTGATTACTTGTTCGAAACAACCGATGAAGGATTCCTGGAAGCTCCCGACAGCAGCGTCAAGCGATCGTCGACCGTTGCCACTGTGAACAACGAAGTTCCAGCGTACAACACCGTCGCGCGAACACGGGTGCCACGTCGTGCAAATGATGAGACTGGAGCGGCTACTTGCGACATGTGCAATTCGGACAAGATTGAATCCGATTATCAGTTCTACTCGAAGCTTCTGGAGCGCTTCCGCAAACGCCAGGATGTCAACGATTTTATGGAAAAGCACAAGTTTTCTGATCACACGGTCATTGGACTTCATGTGCGGGCCGGTAACGGCGAGGAAGGAGATTTTGCCAGAAAGGAACGTGGAATTAACAATGTCAATGAGTTTGTGGATCGCGTGACGATTGCCATTCTCTCGCTGGCGAACAAATGGAAGCAGCCCCCACTTGTGTTTTTGGCCACGGATACGTTGAGCATGGTGGAGATGTTCAGCAAAAGCCTGGAACCGAGCAAAATTCGGGTGGTGACTCTGCCACAGATGCGGGCAGACCAGGGACAAGGAATCTTGTTTGGAGAGAAGAAACGAAAGCGCAAATTCTCCCAACCAAAGCAGCTTCAAAAAACTATTTCGAGACGTCTAGCTGAAGAAGACACCGACGAGGCTGAGGAGGAGCCAGACAGCGAAGAGGACAAAGAGTCTTGTTTATTGGGTTGGGATCAAGCCTTTATGGACATGTCTTTGTTGGCAATGTCAGATGTTGTGATTGGCTCTCGTCGAAGTTCCTTTGTTCAAACAATGCCGCTTTCCATCGTTACCGGAAAGCCAAAAGAGCAACGCAAGGTTGACGCTCCCTACTGTGAAATCAGCAACGACGCCGAGTTCAGAATGACGTGCCATGAAACCTACATGGATTGGTGTTGCTGTTCCAGTTGCGTGGCACTTGAAGACCAAGAACGGAAGCTGACCAAGAAGAAGAAGATCCCGATGGAATATGTGAAGCAGATGAGGCCTGATTTATTGGACCAACCGGTCGAACAACTTTACAAACACCTCATGAAACCCTTGGTCAAGGGGGACGAGATAGGAGCTGTTGCGGTTGAGTCTGGAAAGGAAACGAAGACGGTGGCTGCGGCCGTGAGAAAGTTGGCCACATCCCTAACAAGAGCTGGAAAGAAGAAGAAGGAGGAGGAGGAGGAGAAACAGGAGGCGAGAAAGGAAAGTGCCACCAGCGAATCCTCAGGCCAGGATGCAATTACTGAATCCGAATCAACAACACCGCAGGAAGTGCCACCTGTCATCGAGGAGGAAACCAAGACGGTGGCTGCAGCCGTGAAAAAGTTGGCCAAATCCCTGACAAAAGCCGGGAAGAAGGAGGTGGCGGAGGATGACCGGGAAGCGACAAAGGAAAGTGATATTGAATCCACCACCAGCGAATCCTCAGGCCAGGATGCAATTACTGAATCCGAATCAGCCACACCAGAGGAAGTGCCACCTGTCGTCGAGGAGGAAACCAGGAAAGTGGCCGTGGCCATGAAAAAGATGCCCAAATCCCTGACGAGAGCTGCAAAGAAGAAGGCGACGAAACAGGAGGGGGCGGATGAGGAGAAAGAACCGGAGGAACGCGCTCAAGAGGCCACCCCCGAGACGGGCGGTGATGCCGATGCAAAGGACGCAAATTCGAAAGATGGACAAAGCACAGATGAGAGCGAAGAGAAGCAACCGGAGGAGAGCACCACAGAGGCCACTCCCAAGATGACGGGTGATGATGCTGATACCACGCAAGCTGATTCCACGAAGCTAGAGACAACAGGCGGTAGCTACAAGAAGAAATCAAGGAAGAGTGCCAGGGAACCCACCAAGAAGAAGGAGGAGCGCGGAAAGAAAAATGCCAAGGAACTCAAACCAACGGCCATCACGGAAGAAAACGCGGTTGATGATGGAAACGCACTTGCAGATGATGCAAAAGATGAGGAGAATACAGAGACTGAGAACTCATCAGCCTTGGCTGAGGAGAACGCAGATACGGAGAACACAGCAAAGGCTGAGGAGGATACGGAGCAGGCGGAGAAAGAAGCCGGGCTCAAGGAAAGATTGGAAAAGGCGAAACAACAGTTCAGGTCGAAGAACACGAAGAAGTTTAACAAGAAGAACAAGGCCGTATGATGAGCTTTTGGGCTTCTTGCAATGATTGGATGATTGCTGGTGATTGTCGTACGCATAATACATTAATAGGCGCTACTTAAAAAAGGGAAAGACTAATTTCCGCACGAGTTGGAGGTCTCACGACTACTGTAGTACAAGGGATCGGCTACCGCTGGCTAGCTACATGCAGCTATCTAGCTAGCTAGGCCATGTAGAATACCTCTTTCAACGGGATACACACGGGCGACTTGTCTTCGTTTGTTTCCATGATATCTGACATGTAGGCCCACCATTTTTGAACCAACGGATTGGAGCCCAAATCCTGCGAACCCTGCGCCCCTTCGGCAATCTTTTGTGAGGCAAACAATGTATTGGTTTCTTCGTCCAAGAAGATGGAATAGTCGGAGGTTCCCGTATCTTTGAGTAACTTGGATAACTCGGGCCAGATCTCATCGTGACGCTTCTTGTATTCTTCGGCACAACCTGGTTTCAACTTCATTTTGAAGCCATTGCGCTGCAAAGAAGGCGCTGCTTCGGTTGACTTGTTGCTCTCGGCGTCTGTGGATGCCATGGTGGTTCGATTCGATTCGTGATGGCTTGAAATATCAAAAGTAGTTCCGGTAGTGGCACCAGCTACCGGTAGCAGTGGATTGCCTTGTCGACTCAACGGAAGTATGCTGCAATGGAGAGGACAACAATTAGGAACAGGGGCTTTGGTTACCCCGGCAATGCTGTGCTGTCGTCAAGTGCTGGTGCAGTGCTTTGTGCTTTGGCTTTCCGAGGTCACGAAAAGATTAAAGCAGCAGAGCAGATTTTGTAAAAGGTCGCACAGTGTTCGTGAGGTCACCTCACGATTTAAACATAGAAGGGGGTCTGGGGGTGGCTCGTGCAATTTACTTTGGCTCTTTTGAATAGAGGTAAAAAGTACAAAAGCTGATTCTGCAATTATGAGGCCTTCTTGAAGTGCTTTTTGCGGGTTAAAGCATGCACTAGTAAATAGTGAGGATTGACTGAAAGGAAATACTTCTGCATACTTTAAACCATCACTGTTGGTTATGGTTTGAAATATACCAAGAGCACTAGATGATTTAACACAAGTTTCATAAAAAACCTTGTAGCTTGGTGGGTATGTGGGATTTACTGCCGGATGGTCCTTTTACGGGTTTTCATGGTGGGGCTGTTACCGAGTACCATAATATGTGTCCGGAGTTAAAGGCATGCACGATTCCGGCAGGAATTCCTAGGAATAGCGAGGATTATGGCGGAACGGCATCAACTTTCGTTGCCTGCTTATTTATTTGCTTGTTTTTTTTCTAGCAGCAGGTAGCATACAGCTGTACCAGCACAGTATCACATCTTAGAGCTACAGGATCATTCACACCGGTACAGGTACTCTCCCATACAAGTGCGAGATCAGCAGTGAGACGACAGCAGTAACTCTTGCAGCCTGCTTATTTCCTTTGTTTTTACTAGCAGCAGGGTGTATCTCTTGGAGCTACCAGTATGGTATCATTCAAATTACTAGTGGATCTGCCGTCCCGAGCCGATACTGGTATCAGATAGACGTTGTGCAGGTATGGTACCGTACCGGTGCCGACAGAGATACCGGTACCGATAGGTACCGATAGAGGTGCAAGATTTGCGGTGAGACGTCACTAGCATAACAGCATCAACTCTCACAGCCTGCTTATTTGCTTGCATTTTACTAGCAGCGGGGTAGCAGCTCTTGGAGCTACCGTATCATTCAAACTCTAGATCTGCAGTACCCGTAGAGGTCATAATCTGCGGTGAGATAACACTACAGTGCTTGCATTCTACTAGCAGCGGGGTGCAAACTTTAGGTCTGCAATACCGGTACCGGTAGAGCTGTGGTGAGATATCAATAGGCTGACAGCATCAACTCTCGCAACTTGCTTATTTGCTTGCTTTTTATTATTAGCACCAGGGTAGCACCTCTTGGATCGAGCATTCGACTATTAATAGATCTTCCGAAATATAGTAGCTATAGTAGCTATAATAGATCATTTGCTGTAGAGGTGCACAATCTATGGTGAGATGTCACAACCGGTAGCTATAGCTGCAGGCTGGGACGACAGCTAAAAGCTGGGACCTGTAGCTACAGGCTGGGACAACGGCTATAGGCTGGGACACCAGCTAGATGCTGTCACCCTACCAGTACCATACCAGAGAGGTGCTGGCCCTCATTTTTTGATTGCTAAGTTGGATTTCCTGTTGCTGTTGCATTCTGGAATCAAGCAGTGGGCATTGTGATGAGCAACTTGCTTCCAGCCGATTCTTGACCACATGATTAATTCCATCAGGCAGTTGGCTGCTGTATTTCTTTGCGTATGAAGTCGTTTGCTGGAAGCACCATTGGTATGATTCCCGGCCCTTTTGTCATGATCACGGAGCATGACAGGCGGTACTTCGTTCCTTGGTGCTTTTACATGCTGAGAATTTTGATGGTGGCGACGCTTTGGGAGATGGTGTTGATGCTTCAGGCGAACCTTCTTGTGCTTCTTGGATGCCATTATTGGTCTCTTCTTGTACTGAATTCACTGAGAAAGGTATTGGCACATATGGGCTCGTATTTCGCTATGGTAGTCCTCTTGTAGTTCCGCTGTTGACTGACTACTCCTGTTGCACATCATTCTTCCAATACAGAGTACCATACAACCACTTCCAACTTTGTTTTCACCGTTTCCGTCACCAGTCCTGCCTCGGTTACTCATCCTGTACCAGTAGCCTTCTTCGATCCCTGCTATGCTTCAAGAGAGTAATAGTACAGCACCATCCACTTGCAGTTCTTGGTAGCTAGGACTAGTAGTAGTAACACCACTTATTTCGAAGCTTTGTTTGTTTCAATGGACCTCCAATGACAGCCTCAGTACTAGCTAGCTAGTAAAGCATCGAGTAAAGCACTGACATCTGCACTGACTGGTGAGTAAAGCACTGACTGGGAGCACTGGCTCACTCGTGATCTTTTGATGGCCAACGGTGCGTCAAAAGATCCAGGTTGGCCTCAGACCGAACCTTCCTGCCCTAATTTCTTACCACTTCGGTTGATTTCGCGCTGGTTCTTTGAGATGGTCCAGCATTGGCTTCTGCTCATTTCCACCCGCCAAAAGAAAAATAGACGTCTCTCGATACCTACCGTACTAGAGTACTCACCAGAAAACACCACCATATCGGCACAGTACCGGTACGTATATCTATAGCACGATGGCAACCAGTAACACTCGGTTTGATCAAGGCCTTGGCATGGTGGAGGACACTCTCTGCGACCTGGAGCGTGATGGTGAAGACGACAAAGTCAATCAGCATTTGGAGGCCATCTACCAGAGATTGAAACCATTCCAAGAACGACAAGCCACCAAAAAGAAAGCCAAGCTAGAATCCGAGCAAGCCGCCAAGCAAGCCGCCATACAGCAATCTGTCCAATCCTCATTGTCCAATCACCCCGAGATCTGGCGTGATAACATCTTTTCGTTTATTGGTGTGGGCCACTATGCCTTTGTGGGAGAGGTCAACAAACAGTTCAATCAATTTTACAAGGCGTACTGTGATTCTGTACCCGGTCCCAATCGTCCATTGTTGCAATTTTTGTACGATTTTGGAGATTTATACTACCTTCCAGCAACCAGCACCGACACGACTTTCCGTGCTGCCTTCGACAATGTGTCGTGTGCCGAGCACTGGTATGCCCACTACTGCATGATTGGTGAACAATTGGCTGATCTCAGAGTTTTGCCAGAAGTGAACAATGAAGGCGATAGCCAAGTATGCGCAGTAATTGCCGAAGTTGGGAACATCAGAGTGCTCAAGTGGGCCCACAAGAGGGACTATTTTTTGATGATGATGATGATGATGATGATGAGGACCCAGAGACCTGTTCCATCGCTGCTAAACATGGAAATTTGGGAATGCTCCAGTATGCTCGCAGCAAGGGATTTTGTTGGGATAAAGAGACATGCTCCAATGCTGCCGGGAATGGTCATTTCGATCTTCTGAAATGGGCACTGAAACAAGCTTGTCCCTGCGACTCATCCGCATGTGATGCCGCCGCAAAAGGAGGCCATTTTGACATTCTCAAGTATTTGCATGAGAAGTCGTTGCGTGAGGGGAATGACTGGCACGGCCCAATCCATGGTAGTCGCACGTGCATCTCTGCAGCGGAAGGTGGACATTTCGAAATCCTACAGTGGCTTGTCGGAAAGGGATGTCCAATCTGTAAATACACTTGTGATGGTGCTGCCAAAGGTGGACACTTCGAAATCCTAAAGTGGTTTGTCGTCGAAAAGGGCTGTCGCATCAATGCATCCACATGTGCCGCTGCTGCGGAAGGCGGGCACCTCAATATTCTCATCTGGCTTCGTGAACGTGAGTGCCCTTGGAACACCCGCACTTGTGCCAATGCCGCAGGAGCTGGTTACTTGGAATTGCTTGAGTGGGCTCGGAAAAATGGATGCCCATGGGACGAAGAAAAATGTTGGCGTGCTGCTATTTGTGGAGGCATTGGAGGTCATTTGGACGTGCTCAAGTGGGCACGGAAAAATGGTTATCAGTGGAATGTAGCTACATGCATCGTTGCTGCTACGTTCGGGCGATTGGAGATTCTGAAGTGGGCTCGTGCGAACGGCTGTCCCTGGGATGCAGTAATATGTTCGAATGCTGCTTGGGAAGGGCATCTGGATGTATTGAAATGGGCTCATCAGAATGGCTGTCCTTGGGACGCAGACACGTGTTCTAATTGTATTGTGGAATCACATGGGAATTGGCACATGCTGAGATGGGCTGTAACCAATGGCTGCCCTTGGGACAAAGAAACGTACAATGAGGTTGTTGATCATGGAAGAGAGGATATCGTGCAGCTCATGGATGAGCATCGTTTCCTTCGGACGCGGCGAACGTTGCATTTGGATCGGAAATGAGACCAAACGAGTTGTTGTTGTTGCAGCTTTCGCGGAACTGGTCTCTCTCCAAAGGATGTTCCGGGCGCGACAAGCTGGCCGTGACGATTGTTGCCTTGGCCGAAGGAGTAGATACTTTTTCACGAGAAGCCGAATCGAATCGAGGAGCTTCCCCTCTGAATCTGTCACTAAGAACAACAACACTGATAGCAACAAACACAACCAATTGGTCATACCTATACCATTACACTACCTATTAGCACCATTAGAAGCATTGAAACGAAGCGAAAGGACCTCAGGAAGCCTGTTTTCTGTTATCTTGTTGAAGAGTACTGTTTTACTATAGGATTCAACTCAACGTCATCACGGAAAACATACACCCCTTTTTCCCTCTCTTTACAACCATTTCAAGCCGAAAGGATAGATACCTCCTATCTCCTATCAAGCGCACCTCCTCTATCAAGCGACTATCAAAGCGGCCTTCTCCGGTTCAGATTAGGAAGCCATCCCAATTGAAATCCTACGAGATCGGGCGGGTTTTCTATTCTCGACCGCCGACGGCCAAGTTGGAAGAATTTGACACAAGAAGAAGTCTCCGGTCTTCTGCAGTTCCAGAATAGAAGAGAAACACATACTCATTTGTTACTTTCTGTTCTCTCACTGTCGACGGCCCAAGAAATCCCATTGTCGGCCGATCCTTTTTTCGAACGATCACCTCGATCTTCTTCTCAACACAGGCTCGGTTACCTTACCCTAAGGCAACTGACTCATCCGAAACGCGAAATCCTCCGAATCGATTAGATCTGGTAATCGAATCGAATCCAAAACTCGCTACTCCGTGAATGATCCTCCGTACGAAGCCTACTATCAAGAAGGATTTCACGAGATCCTGCAGTGACCACCAGAAAGAATTACACCTGTATTCTACTTTCTCCCGGCACTCTGGGTTTCTCCGACGCTCCTTGTTGGCACCGATACCAGTTGATCCACTCAGTCCTTTCCCTATACAGACTGATTCATCGACCTGCTACTGTTACCACCCCTCCATGATATCTAACTCCTCCCCAAGAGGAACAACAAACAACAACAGAGTTCCTGTAAGGACTTGAGTTGGTTACAAGTTGGATACTGCCTCAGCTTTTCGTCGGAGTTACTGAGCATAGTTTCCTCCCTTGGACACCAGGCTTGGGTCGTCAGCCTTCTCCCTGGATATCCAACTCCTCTCCATAGGATCTCACCCCACAAGAACAACTACAAAACTGCCCCTCTAGCGTGTTTGCTAGATTGTGCAACAATTCATTGACACAGCCACTCTCTGCTACTGCACCTGACTCTCCTACTGGCTGGAGCTCCAAAGGATTGAGCCCAGACAGAACTGCAGCGTGGTGTGGCATAGATATTAATACATAACTGACTCTTTCTCTCTCTCATTGATTGTTGAGTGACTCTCCAGTGACTTTCCACAGTTCCAGCTGAATCGAGTACCCTCTCCACATCTTGGCTTGACTCTCTGTTGCATCGGTCACTACAACAGATTGAGTACCAGCCTTTGAGACAACACAGTGTCATACAGTAACACAGCCCCATCAACCAACAACACCCCTTGATCCCCCCACCACTGCCTCTACCTACTGGCTATAGCGTGACTTCTCCAGTTTTCCCTGAAAGAATCCCTAACAGCCTTTGGCTCTGATACCATCTTCTCCTGCAGGTAGTGGTATACCTGCACCAGACTTGGCCACAGCCTTTGATCCAGTGGCAACAACAACCCAACAACTTGATATAAACCTTGATTACCAGTGCCTCAGTGCATTGCCCCTTGAATAAACCCCTCTACATCAATCATCTCGCCACCTCACAAGCAACCTCCATTGCTTGCATTGAAGCAACGACACTACAGTCAACACTCCAGGATACACAACTCTCCCACCAACCCACCTACCACCCACCATGACTTCCCCATGTCTACCCACAACTTCACTCAAACCCAAGGTCCTCCCAGACATCCCCCCACTCCCACACTTCACCCAACCAACCACATCCACCATCCTCCGCAGACTACACAACACCACTCCCCAGATGATCAGCCAACAGCTCCTAGAGCATGCAGCCATCTTGAGGATCACACCCTTCCGAATCACACCCTACCCTATCAGGGAGGATGCCTTTGTTCTCACCCTTGAACACAGGCACGCCTCTATCCTACAACACACCATCAACCATGCTACATCCCAACTCCTACAACAACACTCCAACACCAACAGGATCTCCCCTCCTGCCTCTGGCACCAGCCCACTCCCAGTGCCCCCTTATCCTCCTTCTATTGACTCAACAACCCCTCGAACAGCCCACAACACTCCAGCAGCCACTGTGCCTCCCTCCTGGGAACCACAGACTGCCAGTGTGTCATTTGACCCCATCTTCTGCCTGCTTGTTGGCCTCTATCTAACAATTTTTGTGCATTGGATGGGTTACACCCTGCTCTGGTCCAGCCTGAGGAGTACCACCTCCTACGGGCTCTGCTGGCATCTTGCCTTGCATGCCAAGGCATTTGCCACAGCTTGGGACCTGACCACCCAGACACACTTACTGGCGAGCACTCTTTGGTCTAGCAATCTATCTGGTCCTCACGGCCCCTTTGGTGATAATGGTTTCAATACCGACAAAAATCCTGTGTAAGCCCCTGTAACCCAGGTTTTGCGCTGCAGGTTCCCTATCAATGTGCTCACCCCCCTACCCAGGGCATCTGTCTACTTGGTGCTGGCTCCACGTTGGGCCAGTGGATGAGGTCATGTTGATTGGGCAAACAAGTAGATGACGACTCAGCTAGGTGGGGATCTACCCCACCACTTGCCCGCGTCAATAAAGTCACTCCGTGACCAATAGCTTGTTAAGCTAAATGAGTAATTTAAACCTTGGCCAAAGGAGTAGATCTACCCTATAAGCGACGCACCATCATTCAGAAAGATTTTCAGCTAACTATCCACGATTGGAAATTGCTTCGACGACGGGAAGCGGCTTCAATTGCGTCGGCGGCAACCAAAGGGGTATCGGAAAGTGGTAATTTGTTGTGTTCTTCACTTCACTGTAGCTAGTTTGGCTCGTCGTAGACAGCGGTGGCAGTTCAGTGCACGACGTAGTGTCAGTGTTGGTAGGTGTTCGTCATGGCCAGTGTTTACTAACTGCATGCAATGGATGAAACCAAAATTGTAGTCGTCGGGCTCGGCTGGTAGCATTGCATTCAAGAAGGAAATGCTGTTGCTGTTGGCCACGAGCTTGCCAGGATCTCCCCTTGTTCGTATGTCGTCTTCAAATAGTTGACAAACTCTGAACAAATGGAAAGCGATGGTCGTAGGTACCCTGGTTGTTGTTGGTCTTGATTATCTCGGGCGTTGTTGAACCGACTGGAGGCGTACCGGTAGTGTCATCGTCGTGTTCCTCGGTGGTTTTTTCAGGAGTGGTGGTGTCGCTCTTTCCGTCATCGTGCATGTTGGCTGTTGGCAACCAAAAGACGGCGTATGCATCGACTACACGGATGAGTCCGAAATTGTGGTCTGGATTGGTGGGCACGACGCAGAAATCGGACTCGACTCGGCTGGAAGCGTGGCGTCTTCAACGGGGTGTGTGAGATGTGATCACGTTTGCACATCGAGATCAACCTCAACCTTAATGAAGATCTACCTCGTAGCGTAATTCCCCTCTATTTTAGTTCATACTTTTACGTCGAACTCCCCACCATGTCATCCTTCACATCGACCTCAGTTCGTAGGTTATGAGCCCAAAGCGTCATCGTTCTCGCAGTGAAGATATCGCGTAGTGTAAAGCAGGGCAAAGCCGTGATCTGCGCTTACACCACATCGAGCTGCAATGACGGGACGATGCAATTTGGAAGATGACAACAACAACATGGTGTTGTTGATCCACTCCGCCGTGGTAAAGCGGATGGATTTCGAGTTCGAGTTTCTCCTGGAAATTCGAACTCAACGTGAAGTATCCAGCACATCAAGATGGCTATGTGGCTGTTCGAACTACCGTTTAATGGGTAGATTGACTGAGCTCTCATTCGCTCAGCGGTACACAAAGAACAAGCTCAATCTCGATCCTAGCCATCGGATTGGGTCAGGAGACGGCTGCTAACTGCTGCTGGTGACACCTCCTGGTCAATCTGACACCCCTGTGATCTCACCAGAGAGATCCTGAACAAGGTGATGTTTTTTCGACGTCGAAATCGAGCTAGCACACAGCGAGAAAATGACTAGAACAACAACAAGATCACCATGACGACGAACTACAACGACCAGACACTGCTACCTTATCGTGTTACACGTAGGTCTTCCGGTATGTTTGGTATGAGCGACCTCGAATTCCAAGAACGATCTCGTCGCCTGAGCATGCAAATTCCTAGGGACCCCGTTGTTAACGAGCCACATCTACCGCCCGTTAGAACTCCCACGGAACGAGCTCGCGCTGTACAATTTGCGCAAACTCAAGCTCATGGTGACGCACAACGACCCCAGCGTCTGTTCCAGGCAACGCCTCGCGTTCCCCCGCAGACTGCTCCATCAGCTGTCAGTACTACCCCGGTTGTACGTCCACCTCCGATTGGTCACGTCGGATCCTGGAAGCTTCCAACACCTGCTGCGACGCCAGCTCCGGCTGCCTCGCCAGCTCCAGCTCCTGCTGGTGGAAACAGCCTCGATCCGGCTGGTACGACCACGACTCCCGCTCCAGATACAACTGGTTCCGGTGGTGGTGGAGGTGGTGGTGATGCTAATCCACCTACACCTGACCCTGACGTTGATCACCTCCTTGTTGACGGACGCCTCATCGAGATTGAACTGGTTCCAACACCGCAAACTCCATCTTGATGGTGGAATAAAGCGGACAGGATCCACTTCGATCACGAGGCGCGCCAAACCTTCATCAATAAGGCGACATCCTACACCGTTCTAGGAAAAGACAACAAGCTAGTTGAGCAACCTACTGACCTCGACACCAATGGTCTCATCACGGCTGTTGAGCGGTCTGACCGCAAGTTCGAGCTCCTTAGGACTCACATGAAACACTTCGACCTGTTGGATATCTTCCAAATTGTGACTCCAAAGGATGAAGAGTTTGGCTTTACCTACACTTCGAAGACAGAAGGAAAACCGATGGATTTGTTACAGTATGCTCCCAAGATCACACCTGAGGCTGTGGCTTTGAGAAACTACTTCTATAATTCCTGTGTGCGCATAAGCACTTGTCCCTATGTGAGTGAAAATATGTCC